AAACAAAAAAAAAATACAGAGATGTTCTCTCAGTTATTCAGAAAATACTATACAGTTACAGTCATTAAAGCCTCAGACTCAGATAACATGTATTCACACTAAACATAAAAAATTTCAAGAAACATATATCAAACAAACAGATTTGAGAAAGCTAGCAGTACAAATGAAAAGTAAGATGTGATTCATCAGTTCTTTATGGTGGCAAACTGCTTGTTTTTTATATGTGACATGAAACATGCTTCTATCAAACTTTCAAAGGTAAATTCACCACAGATTCAAGAAAAAATATAAAATATGAATCTACAATATGGAAAAAAGTATAAGGAAATGATCTGCTGAATAATGAGGAAATTCGTGGAAATAACATCATCAAATCTACAAAATTTAAGAGTGACTTTCAAAAGCTAAAGAAGTAACAGTAAGAATTTCTATTCAGCACAAAAAATTCTCAATGAAATAAAAATTCAGCGAGAAAAATCACAAGAAGTTGTGTTGATTCTCTACAAGTGACCATGACAAACCTACAAAAACAGCAAAAAGAATGTCAATCAGAACGTTCTCCTATGACATGATATAAGCAGATATTTTACACAAGGTCTTACAGAGGAAATGGAAAAAGAATGCCTAATGATGGAGATATTAAAGACAGAATAAATGAAAACAAGCCATGAAAGTTTACTATCAATCCATGAAGCTTGTTAAATTAGAAAGAGTCCAGTGTTGATAGTTATGAGAAACAGACACAGTTGCCCAGTGGTAGTGGTTGTGTTGTGCAAGGTATATGATAAGATTTTGAATGCTACACACTCTTTGCACCAACACTGAACTCCTGAGCATCCACAGGATGCCTCACATCTACTTCTGGGACACCAAATAAGAGAATGTTCCTTACTGCATTCGTATCAGTGACAGAATTAGACAAGCCTCCTCTCCCTAACCGTGGAAAGGTAAATAGAATGTTAAGCATGCCAACAATGGAGTCACTGTCAGGAATCATATCTACATATATAATGCAAATAGATCTGGGAAATAATACTGAGTGAATTAACTCAAATACAGAGCGAACTCTCAAATATGCCGTTTGAGCACTACAAAATGTATGTACAGGTGATTGGTGTGTAGCTCACTGTTAGAGCACATGTACAGTGCTCTCATCATCCAGGGTCTCTAGCAACAACAAAAAAAACTCTGGAGTGTAATGTAGTAGTGACAGTCAGGGGTTCAATGTGGCAAGAAAACACACAACAGTTTTGTCAAGCTCAGCACTGGTGACATTTAAGACCACTAAATGATGTTTTCCTTCTAATAAGTGCCATCCTCTTTGTTATATGACATCGTTAATACCCTTGACCTCCATCCCTAAGATGGTACTAAATCTTTCTTACACTCTATGTCCTAATTACAAGAAAAAAGTTGAGACACATTCACATTTCCTCATGTTCACAATCACCACTGCCAGAAAATCACTCAGGAGGTGGAGTAGACACACAAGCTCTTCAGTGACATGATATTGGACTGGGCAAAGATCCCAAGACCTACCTAATCGCCAGCTCTGCACCCTCAAACTCAATCTCAGTGACTCCACACAAAGTACTGTGTCTGTACTTGCACACCCTCTCCTTGTCCTCACCATTTGAACTACATTTCAGATGTCACGAGTGTGAAAAGCCAGAATAGGCTCCACTGCTTCACGCCGTATGACGCACCCCCAGGGAGATACAGATAGACTGAAAGGTGCTTTACACTGAAGCTCTGTGCTTTGTCTCAGCTGTGACATACACCTTTCCCATGGGCATCTCCAGGATACCAACACGGAAGGTCTGTCTTCAGTGTGTGGGCAAGGCAAGAGAAATTAGGGGGATTTAGCGATTGCAGTTAATTAGAACTTATGGGACATACAACACAGGCTCATGGTCACCTCTATATCTATGGAGCCATAAATTACTGCAAAGATAAAATTCTTGGAAGGAACATTATTGGACAGACATGCCTCTAGCTCTTTAATGTCATGGAAATGGAGAGAGGATTACATGAGTAGACCATGTAGGCCAAACCCAGAAGGATTTCCAAAATCAGCATAAGTAGAATCAGGAATGGAAATGTTTTTTGTTTAGTCTTCAGAGATTGTGTATGTCTACTGCTCAGATCTGTCTCTGATCAACTAAAATCTCTATCTTCTCCCCTTGTTATGGTGATGCAAGCCAGACAGTATGACCAGATCAGGACACCTATCAATAAAAACAAACCAAACCAAAGCAAACTAAGAAATAAAAAAATCTAGATTAGTGTTTCTTTTTCAAATAGTATTCAGATTATTCTGTTGATTCATTTGCTCTGGGGAACCTGATTAATACAGCTCTCAAGGAAACAGTCTGATGATTATTATGCTTTATAGCAGACTTTTAGAAGAGTTAAAATGGACCCACTGAGTTAGAAAGGAAAAATAACAGAATCCAAAGGAAATTCAAAAGAAAATGTGTTGAAAATGTACAGAATATGCCTGGTCAAGGAAACATTAGTGCTAAACTATGGATCCATTAAACCTGCTCAATAACTTACTTGATCTCTGTTTGGGGACATATATGTAACACAGAACAAAATCATTAAAAAAAAACACTAAATATCTCATGGACTTTATTGAATACAGTGCACGTCAAATCACTGCTTGTTCACCACTGGTGTCCTGTTGCTCACAGAGGAGTGATTCTTTACTGCTGTCCACCATCATGAGCAAGCATTGCACCATACATCACTTGTGTGGAAAAAGAGTAAAATAAATAACTCAATGTAAGACTTTTCCTGAATGGTTTTTCTTTTATTGTTCAGTCTGGACATTTATCACAGGGCCAAGGCATGTTAAATGTGTTACTATTCAGTGGAGGTAAGTCACAGAATTTATATTTCAAATTGAAAGAGAATCTTGCTGAATTGTCCAGGATTGGTGCTATGACACTTCCTGTCTATCTCCCAAGTGCCAGAGAGAAACGGGGTGAATCATTATACTTCACTAATTTTACTTTAATCAAGCACTAGCTGGATGTGGTGGTGCACTCCCATAATCTCAGCACTTGGCGGGAGAGATTGAGGCAGGTGGATTGCCATTAGTTCAAGACCAGCCTGCACTACATAGTGAGTTCAAGGCCAGCCTGAACCTCACAGCAGGATATTGTATCAAAACAAAAACCTTTACTCAAACACTGAAATGCTGACAAATCATGAGCAATAAAGAATCCCAACCTTACACTGGCATAATGGTACATACATATCATCCCAGCAGTCAATGAAGTTCAAAAGCTATCAAAGGATCACATCACCCTGGGAAACACAGTAAGATCGTATCTCAAAATTTACAAACAAAAATTAAAATTGAAAATTTGGGAGTACATAACTCTGAGCAAATTTCCAGAATTCACTGTCTCTACAATAAAAACATCAAGCACATCTTGAAACCTTCCATGTCCTTGGGGGAAATCCCTTTCATTTTTCAGTGATGGTGTCCACAAAATTTTTAACCTCCACCACAGCCAGACAATTTCCTAATTTCTGATTTTACCTCAAAAATGATTACATGACCAGGTGTGGTGGCACACACACACTTGTAACTCCAGCAGTTGGAAGGCTGATGCAGAGAGAGTGCTGTGAGTTCAAGGTCAGCATGGGCAACATAACTCAGTTCAAGGCAAGCCTGAACTACACAGTCAAGACACTGTCTCAAATTTTAAAAGTGATTGCATCAAGTGACAACAGAAGACGTTTATCTATTATGAAGTTCTCTTCCATTCAAGCCTGTGACTTGTGGCTGAGTGAATTAATTGAAATACACAGCAATACAATACTCAAGCATACAATACTTCCTTCATGCTTACATTGAGTATAATCACTTTCAAAGAAGATCTTCCATATTGTAAGTCCCACTACTGACACTCATGCCATTCTCTTCCACATCCTTTCCACTCTCTTTTGATCCACGCTAAGCAGAAAATCCTTCATGCTAACCTTAATATCCCTGCACCACTTCTATTTGGGGCTTCATACTAGATCTCCTTTTGAAATCTATCTCAGGGAGCATTTTAGTATTTACACAATGTCTATGATCAGACCTACCTCTATAGCCGTTAACTCAGAGATGACATCCCCGGCCCTTTCATTCATACCCATATCATGTATATGTCCTTGAAAATGCCCCAATGCAGGGCTTTCTCAGTATGAGTTTAACAGGCAGCCCATTCTAAAAGTTGTGCTTGTCAGGTGCACTTCCCCCAGCCCTTGTTAATATTTTAACATCTGCTCCATTTTTCTCTGAATTCTAAACTCTATGGCAGTTCTTATGCAAACAGTCTGTCAGTAGGCGTGTCACCTAGGTAAGTAAGATTAGACGTTTTGTTCGCATTGCTCTGTATGGAACACAGGATTTCACTAGGAGTCTAGCAAGTGCTCCACCACTGAGGCACATCACCCACTGTGTTCAATTCCCAGAACCTCTGTCAACACCCATCATGAGTCCGGAAGTATGAGGACATATTGGAAATGTAGGGGGTCACTATAAAGATAAAAAAGCTGAACTTTCAGGAGAGGAGTCTTGGCTGTGTGCCCTGCATCACAAACATGTATAAACTTCAGATCCTCCAGAGCTGCTGCTGACAGGAATGCCAACAAGGACCTAGCTCACCACAGCTGCACTCAGCTCAAATCCTATCTGGGTCAGGGTCTCCCCAAAGCCCCTTCTCTCCTCAGTCTGGTGGAGATGCGAGGGCAGGACGCTTCCCAGACGTCACGGTGAGCTGATGGAGACACAGAGGGGACAGGGGTCAGGGGACACAAACGAGCCTCGCCAGTGCAAGGGGCAAAAGGGACGGAAGATGACTCACTGTCAGTCCAGATGACCTCCGGGATCTACAGCTAAGTATGGAGGCTATAGACACCACAGCTGCTTCTGACCACTTCTAACGAGGATCGCCCAAATTTCATCCCATTTCAGGGCTCCCATCCCGTAACGTTACCATTGCGTGGCCTGAGGGTCTCCCGGGTTCTTTCCGAAGCAGAACTCAGCAAATAAAACCACAAAATGCTGCCTAGCAAGCACTGGTCCCTCAGAATTGCTCTCAGGACAAGCATTGACGCCATGACACCCGAAGAGACTCCTACATTGGCCCACCTGATTGGACAGTTCACGCCGGCGCCGCCTCGTCACTGATTGGCTCCTGCTCTGTTGCCCTCCCACCGGGCCAAGAATGAAGACCAACAAACCCCTCTCTACAACACTGGATCACTAAGGAAAGTTTGTAGCGCCCAGACTTCTGAAGCAGGCTGTTTTCTACAATGCGGAGCTCCCCTCGCCTAATGAATTCTTCCATTGAAGGACTTTACTCCTGCCTTTTCAGTGCTGCTCCTGTTTTTTTAAAGGATTCTATGGACTCTTCCAGAAAATGGGTCACAAATGTGTCCAGAAGATTCCAGGCTCAATATCCTAGGGAAAAATCAATCCTCTGATGTCAGAAAATATCCTGAGTCCAAGCCAGACCAAGACACAGTCAACTAGAAAAAGGGCAGGCTGTTTGAGAGGTCAGTCTATAGAGTAAACCAGCAGGCTTCATTGTCAAGATTTTCACACTTAGCTCTCTGCATCTATTCATTTTCAGCGACCCCCCCCCCCATACAGTATGTGCTCAGAAAAGGAGCACAGTTATTGTCAAAATGAAGAAATTACAGTTAAACGGTAGCAATAATCTGCAAAAGAATAAAGATAAAATAAAAACAAACGTTTGAACTCTCCCAGACAAACCTGCTACTCATCCTGAGTCATAAAAATCCTGAATTGTGAAAGTGAGCACATTGCCACGCACGAGGGTCACGATGATTGCTGAAATGGAGCCACTTTCCTTACCACTAATGAGACAATGGGAAATCTCAAATGGATAATACCAATAAAACTATTGATTATGACATTGATCTTCAGACACTCCTCCAGCCACAGTTTTAATGAGGTCTCACCCTGTCCAATGACTGTCTCACCCAGGCCAATCTTAGTGCCTAATATATTTCGACCTAATTTAGCTGGTTATCATAGAAGCACCACAGATGTTAAAATGTTCCACACATTTTATGGTCTATTTTTATTTTTGACAGGAGTAAATAAATAAATACAAAGCTACACTAAAGGGTGAAGCGTTAGGAATAGGTGTTATTTTAGTTACATAAAAGTCAGTAGTGGAGTGGATTTCACAGTCAGGTAGAAGATCTAAATTAGGAGTCCTGACCATTTCAAAGTCCGTGTCCACTTTTATAAATGAAGTTTGATTGAAAGCATATTGCACGGGGCTATGCAAGGTTGAAACTTACCATCACACTGTGAAGATTCTATGCATTTGTTCTAGTGACCAGTTGAGAAAAATACTCTTTTTCTTTCTTAAATGCCATGTTTTGTCTATGGGTGTGGGTTTATACCTCCTCAAGGAACAGTGGAGTCTGATAGCATCAAAAATTATTTTACAAGCATGGAGATATTGGTTATTATGCCATTTAACTTTAATATTTGCTTTGTTTAATGTCCAGTTTAAAAGCTATCTTGTCCTTTGTTCATAAAAAAATCAGACAGTTTCAGTTCATGAGATCTATATTAAGTTTCTAAAAACTAAGTGTAACCCTTTGTGTTTGAGTTTCTATCTTCCCAAAACTAAGTTTGAATTGTACATCAACATATGAGTTGTTGTGGAAAGCAATAAGCCACATGGCATCCACAACTCTACCCAACACATGTTGTAGTCTCATTTAGTGTTTCCTGTGGTATGAATCAGTTTTCCCAGCATTCATATATTGGAGCTTACTTCCCAATGTGATGGTAGGAGGCAGTTCAATAAGGTCTTTGCAAAGTACTGAGATGGCTCAGTCAAAAATCTCAATAATAATTTATATTCACTTATAAAGTTTACCAAATACAACTTGTCCACCCCTCCTTTAATGAGAATTCATCTGGAAGTAACATCTTTAAAAAATCTCAGTACACATGTAAGTTGCAAATGCATTGATCATGGAATTCCTAGCCTTCAAATTTGTAATAAATAATTATTTCACAGAGTGAACTGTTTCCATAATTTTGGTCAAGGCATCTAGCCAAAATTTGTAGGCAATGGCTAAAACTGCATTTTTGTAAATGGTTTACCACCAGTCATGGAAGCTGGCAAGTAGCAAAAATATTATATTTTCATTTCTTTATTCAAACATAAGAATGTGCTCATTCTTGTATATTTGTGAAGTTATTTTCTCTTCTCATTAGTTCACATAGTCAATGCCATGAATATCCAGTGGAAGGGAATGTAATTGGTATTTCACTCTATCAGTGTCAATGCAGTTAGTTTAATCCTAAGATAAAAATAAATCTTCATATAATTTCAAAACAGAGGAAATCATCAAAATATAGAAAGGGTCCTAGAGGTCTGTTTATCTTTAAATAGGCCTCTGATTAAAAGAACTTCTAGAAGTTGGCTAAAAGTATGCAGTATTTCTGAAGGGAAATTGTTCAAGCAGCCAATAATGCAGAAATTTTTCTGAACAACTTTAGGTGAATATTCTCTTACATGTGAGATAACCTATAGCTGAGGCAAAGTCTAGTTTTTGCTAAATTATGCACTCAAGCCAATTACTTTACATTTCTTTTTTTTAATTTTTATTTATTTAAGATTAAAAAGACACAGATAAAAACAAAAAACAATTCGGACAGACAACAACAAGAAATCAAATATAATAACAATATAGATTTACAAAACAAGATGATAGGAATTTGACAATGGTTGTAATACTGCATACTGTTACTTTCAAGAGAGTTGCTTAGATTAACAGATATAGACATGTAAAATTGATCTAAACGTATTAATTGTTCTTTTCCAATAACTAATATAATTAATAGTATAGTCAGTTATCATATGTATAAATTTATGTCTTTTTAATTTTGTCATATACATTAAATGTTTTATTTATAATTATACTAAATGAAATTAATAGTTTTTCCCATAAGCCAAAATAACATGACTGTAATTCTATGATGTGTCCTAAAGATTTTTCCTTTTCCTGCATTTTTAAAAGAGTAATACAGTTTATAGTGATAAAAAAACAAAATAAAAATATAACAATTTACGGTGGTTATATTGCTGACAATTTAGAAAGCTGTAGGCACCAGCTGTTAGAATATAATTATTCATTCTTATGGACTTAGTATTCAGACACTTACAAGGCATATGAAGCAGAATAAGTGTTTATTTCAACACACAGATAACTTTTACAAAATAAACTACTATAACATGTGACCTTCAATTCTTAAGTATAAATATATATAGGTTTTAATAGAGAGAATTTGGAAAGTATTGAGAAGTGACAACATCATGAATCTGGCATTTTTTTGTTGTCACTGTAGCAGATGGATTCCAGGGAGTCATTCCTATGAAGCATGCTTTCTACCTGTGAGGAATATTTCCTGACCTTTTCCATGTGTTTACATGCAAAAAATATTATTAAAGAAGTATGTGTATCAAAATCACATCATGAAACAAGGGTAAAGGTATAACTTGATATAAGTATTGAGTTTCAGATGTTTAATAACACTATTGAGTGTAATATTCAATTTAAATACATCCCTTTAGGAAAATTTCCCATGAAGAGAAAAAAACAGTGAATTATTAATGGAACAGAAATTGATAATGTAACAATAATATAACAATAATTCTGAATGTACCAGTCAGGGTTAGTAGAGAAGTAGATATAACACAAGATGTACAACTGTATAAGAAATTACAAGATTGGCTTATAATGGTCAGCCACAAAGTCAGATGAGAGAATGTGCAGAGGGTGGAGTCCAGTCCAAGGGCTGGAGCTTACTGCAGTGTCCCGTGCAAGTCTGCATCAGGAGGCAAATTTATCTGTGATGGAACACTGCATAATCTACCACAGAACACTGGAGTCCCAGGCGGAAGCCGGACAGTCTGTGCCAGAATCCAGGATTGGAAATCCCAGCTTAAAGCAAAGACTGGAGCTCCTCAGAAGAACTGGCAATCAGTCCCTGCTCTTTTGCCTTTTATTGTATGCAGACTACCCCCTAGGGTGGGTGTAGCACTCACACCATCTCTGAGACATCCTCTTGCACAGGCTGAGGATGTTACAAACTAAGGGTCCTGGGCCCCAGTTGAATCACCCGCTTCAACATCTGATCTTCTCAAATTGACACAACGAACAATAGCCTAGAACACTAAAGGCTTGCCAGGTACACTCCAGGATGTAGAGCTGCTGGGTCACTTACGTTTCTAGACTTCTCAAATTGACACAGCCTATAAACCCTAACACTGGACATAACACTTTCACCTGTGAACAAACCATGTTTCTCACCTGTACATTGTGAATTCCCCCTTCAACAGAGCATTATCATGTCTACATCGTATCTACGTGGTCAAGCCATCCTCCCCTACCTACCAAAAGGATACTGTGAGTTGTCAAATTCCAGTTCCAAACTCTAATGCACCTCCTTCTCCTAATGGCCTACATTCCACTCTTGAGTATGTACTAAACACCTGATATATAACCCTTTCTGTGCCTCCAACTGATAATTCCTGAACATAGTTTTATACAAAGGGAATCAGGGAATCTGCAAACATTCCATGTTGGGGACGCCTGAGTTCTTCTCAAATTTAGTCTACTAGCAAGACTGTGTGAAAAAAGAGAAAGAAGATCAAGGGAGGAGGAATGATGCATAAAATTAAAGTATACCATTCATTTCTTTAAAAATGCCAAAATGAAACATTTCTTTGTAAGATACATGCAAATTACTATAAATATTTTGAAATGATATGTATATAAATGTATCCATTGATTAGTGTACTATTGTCATGCAACAATGTAAACAGCAAAAATTACAGAACTCTACAACAATTTATTTTTTTTTTTTTTGGTCTGGAGAAACAGTCCAAGGAGAACAAAATTTTTTCATTAGACTTAGTCTCTGTCTCTGTCTCTGTCTCTATTTCTCTCTCTCTCTCTCTCTCTCTCTCTCTCTCTCTCTCTCTCTCTCTCCGTGTGTGTGTGTGTGTATCACTGTGTCTCTGTCTGTCTCTCACACACACACACATACACACTCAAATATTCTACAAAGTTAAAATAAGGCATTCACTCCCCAAATTTCCACTATTTGGCTTCAAAATTATTAAACTGATTACCAGAATAAAGCAGTTATTAACAAGATGCCCATTGGTTACACTTTTTCCTCCAGGAACGTTGTCTTTCAGCCATTCTCGCCCCGAATCAGTTCATGACTCGTGCTTTACTGTCATTCCAAGAACAGCCACGCCCAACGGGAAGACCTCTGGTGCAAGAGCCTAGTCTGCCACCTGTTATCACCTTCTTTATCTCAATTTCTGCTCTTCTCCCTTTTTGGCAAATGACTGAAATGTTTGCAGAGTACACACTTAGTCGGTCTTTCTCCCTACTACAGTATTCCTTTGAAATAAATTCCTGTTCTAGATCAATCAGCATTAAATTTTTAAAGCAGTGTTACATTGTCAAAGGATGAAAACAATCTTAAGAGAGATGACAGCAAATCATTACTTCTTAACCCTAGCCTTAAGTATTTGTGTACGCCACTTTGCAAAGACTTTGATAATGTGGGCGTGATCTGGAAAACAGAAGTTTAATGCTGTACTTCAGAAGCCTTTGAATCTGAACATAGATCATGGACTTGACACTCTGATTCCCAGGCATTTAAAAAATTTCAGTGCTCTCTTGAATAAATGAGTGACTAGGAACATAGGAATTGTATCTTTTCCCATTTACAAATGCTGTACACGAGTCTGAACATGACCTCTTGCAGTCACCAAAGAGCATAGAAAGACAGAGAACTGCAGGAGTATTGCTAACAAAATAGAGCTTTGAATGAAACTGAAGTTGAAGACGAAACAGGATGTTGCTGAGGTCCCCACAATTCCTATGGCACACTCCAGAAGGGACTGGGTAGAGCTCAAAAGAGTACATCACAGATCTTGAAGATTTCATGGGAAGACCCTGGACTCTACAGTTTGAAACTATTTGATCTGTATCTGTTGCAGGGCACCCAGCCCCACACTTACTAGCTACTACAGTGATTCTATGTCTGTACTATTCCTGTGTCCTAAGGAAGTCATATAGCAAGGCAGCCCGAGAGTCTTGCGCAATTTCTCAACAGCCGACACTGGTTTTAAAGTACAAGAGCAAAAAAGAAAGGAAGCCTCCACCCTGTTGATCAGCCTGATCTTTATGCCCTGCTTTTGGCTACAGAGCTCATGCAGCTAAACTGCACTGCTCAGTGGCTGATGATCAAAAACTCAAGCAGCTCTGTATGCGCCTGGCAAGTATGAGGTCCTGAGTTCGACTCCAGGTACCCACGCCCCAAAAACCCCACCACCTAAGATCAGAAAGATAGGAAAATGATCCCATATCTGGCTAACAAACTTGTAAATGTGCAGTCCATTTGTGTCAGCTTCCCACAGTGCTGAGATTACAGGAGTATACAACCACATCCTGCTATGACACATTTTACTAAAAATAATAGGGAAACACAAAAACAAGATACTAAAATTAACACATCTATTACATTCTTTGGACAGTAGTATTCCACACAAAAATCAAAGGTAAAAAATAGCAACCAACTGCACCCAAGGTCAAAGGAAAAATCCACATTCACACAGTTAAACATTTTTTCCATGTGAGGGTGAGACTGACTGCTGAAAGGGCGTGACACAGTGAATCCTGTTGATGAGGCGACAAGAAATAAAAATATTCACTCCGGGAGCTGACCATGGCCTGCTGCTCCCTTTTCCCAGTGGGAAAGTACAACTTCCTACACTCTAAGATTTGCTACAGGAAGACCCTTACCTAGAGTCCCTTTAAGGTTCTCATTAAAATTGATCACCCCTTTCCCCAGAAACTATGTAATACAATCTGTTCAGCCTGATAACAAATACTTAATGCATACAAATTAGAGACTCACATCTATAATCTAAGCATGCCCAAATCAAAACCATCTGTAGAAATCACCAAGGTAAACAGGGTTCCAGCCTCAGGAAGGAAACGCACTCAGTGGCTGTGGCTTGTGTCTTCTGCATGAATTTCCAGCCCTGCACCACTGTGCAGCTTTTCTGTTCATACTCATTCTGTGTTCTCTCCAGCGGAAGCCACCTACAGGGAAGCTGCTGTCCAGAAAGCAGCAAAGGAAATTCATTGCTCTTTGTCTGGTGGCTCCAGTTTGGCCTCATCAACGGAGATAACGATGGGGTGGCACGAAATTTAATCATGCTACTGAGAATGGCACGATCTAAACCTTGTCATTTTTAGATTTGGAATTTTTAATATTAGATCTGACTAAACTGTTAGAATATGCATGTGGATAAAGATGGACAATGATGACCTTAACTGCTGTCATATCCTTCAACACACTTACTGGATATACCAGAGCAAAAATTGTGTCACAAAACAGAAATTCCTGCATCAAGGATTTTGGCAAATGAATCGGATGTTTTCATGTGTTGAACTCATACACTTGTGATCATCACAGGCTTGTGCTGCACACCTGTGGCTCTCCAATCCAGGGTCATAATGTGACCTCATTCCCATCATTTGGGAGCCTTTTCATTGGAATCATATTCTGTGGATCTTCTTTAGAAACATATGAAAGATGCTTAAATCCTTATATATTTGTATATTTTGGAAGTTGCTATGTATAGGCCATCCACTTTACTATCAAAGGTATTCTCTTTAAATCTCCTTTTATAGCAAAAATTAAAGATCTGTAATTGGAAACAGATATTTTACAAGTGGAAACAAGATGAAGAAATGATGGAAGGGGGAGAAAGGAAATAGAAAGGTGAAATGAATTGAGATGAGCTGTATACATGTACAACATTCTGATAACCAACATAAAAATACACTACATGCATGTTTTAATACAAATTTTACTAAGATTTTATTGGTTTTGGATTTTTAATCATGTCAAAAGCATGACTTGATGAAGCCTGCATTATCTGCATGTGTCCTTCTAGAGAAAATAATTGATATGTGGGCCATTTTCCGAGTGGGAAATAACTGTCATGAGGAAAAAGTCTTGCCTTGCAAGAGGACTTGGCATTGGTGAGCCAAAAAAAAAAAAAAAAAAAAAAAAAACCACAGTGGAAAAGAGAAGCTTCTGAGTCTCAAATTATCTTAAACACATGTGATGTTGGGAGCTGTCATAATTCAAGAACATCAGACTCCAATGACTAATCTTTGAATACAGATCTTTATTAGGCTTATTTTATGGGAGTTCAAAGTCTTTTCTCTTAGACTGTGCCTCTTTTACTGATTCTTCTTGTTCTTAACCTTCTAGCATTATTAAGCATTCACTGGTTCCCAATTTTAAGCACTTAGACACTCATTACAGAGGTATTCACCCTCTGATTATACAAGGACATTTAAAAACTTTTGTAAGTACAAAAAAACCTTTTATATACATGTGTATACATGTGTCTCACTGCAATACAGTGACTAATAGCACTGAACCCAGGAGAGAATGTCATCAGGTTGATGTCATGCACATCACCTCAACAAAGGTGAAGTGGTTACAGATTTCCATGAGGTACAATGTGTAAATATTGCAGCAACCAAAAGCATTGAGTTAAAATATGCTGAATGGGGGCTGGGGATTTAGCTCAGCGGTATAAGCGTCTGCCTTGCAAGCAGGCCGTCGTGAGTTCGATCCCCGGTACCAATCAAAAAATAAAAATAAATAAATAAATAAAATATGCTGAATGTACATCTAACATACCAAATCTAATGAACACAATAGTGATGCCCTTGCTACATTTAAATGCTTATTATTGTTATGTTGACCTATAGTGTAGTAGAAAAATCTAACATTGAGCCCATTTCACAGTAAAATATCACATATAACTTACTAAATGAAGTGCACTGGAATATTGTTTATCCTTGGTATCTTGTGGCTGAAAGAGCAGTGTTAACTGCTACTGCCCCACAGAAAAGGTGCATATTGCTGTATTAAACAGGAATTTGCATGGGTCATAGAAATACGATGTCTTTAACTCTTTGGGAAAGATACCCACAAAAGGAAGCACTACTCTGAATGGAATTACTACTTAGTGTTTTTAATATTTTATACACTGATTTTGCTACTGGTTAAAATACTTAAATTCCCACCAATGATGTTGAATGGTTCCTCTTTCCCTGCAGGCTCATAAACTTTCTTTTGAGTTTGTGGTGACATGTTTTGTCTAGAACGAGACAATGTTCCAATATGCATTTCTATGTTGGGCAAAAATGGTCAACAGGTTTTCAGATATTTATTGGCACTGTATTTATTCTGACAAGTGTGTATTCATTTCACTGTCTTGCTTGTCATTGTTGTTTTGGTTTTTTTAGATGGTAGATCTCATGGAATACCAAGCAAATTTTTTCCATTCTGTACGTTATTTCTTCATGCTTCTTTGTTGTTGTATTGCTTCCATGTTTGTACAGACATTTTAAAATTGTATATAAGCCTTTTACTTTGCTGTCATCCAATATTATTTTCTACCCCAAAACACCACCTTCAATATTGAGAAAACAGTTTTTAATATCCACACTCAGAACTTGAGATTCCTGGCTGATTCATGTTTGACTGTTTATATTTTGCTTGATACATATATGTGACTGCTGCACAAATATTACCTTGAAAAGTGTATTTTCTGAACAACCAAATCACAGTGATTTGCAATGTTATCTTTTAATCCTATCCTATGTTTATATTCTTGAGCTCAAATTGTTTCTTTCCTTAAATTTCAAATGCAGGTGTAGACAATTGTTTCATAATTTGCTGAGGCATCCAAATGAGCTGCCCCAACGTTAGCTTTAAACTCATGATCCTAACATCCCAGCCACTCCTGCTGCTATGACTAAAGATGATATATTTGCTTAGACCTGGATTCATAAATCGCTTGCCAGTCCAATTCTTTAAATATAAGGCAATCATAAATTGTATATTTTTGGTAATTTATATAAAATAGTATAATAGCAAGTACAAAAATGATAATTGTATCAAATGTGTTCAATACAAGAATCAACTGGTTAAAATGACACCTGACGTATGATGCTCATTACAATCAGTCCATAAACAAATGTGCTTCTCAAGTGATGGCTGGGATAAACTGTTAAAGTGGTCAAGTGAAAAAGGAAGACCGATATGTGATGATTACTATTAAAACAATTTTGATACTGGGGAGTAAACCTAGGAATTCAAAAGTGCTGGGCTACATCTGCAGAACTTGAAGATATATTTTGTGACAGGCTCTCACTAAGTTGAATAGGCTGGACTCAACTTTTTCCTTACCCACTTGAGTCTTCTGAGTTGCTAGGATTACAATCATGCATCAACAGGATCAGCACCTTTTATTTTCATGGTAAAGTAATGAGAAAGTGAATGTACTCAGCATAAATGTCATGTACTTTCAATAGTCTATTCCTAGTGTGAATAGTAATAAACACCACATATCTTCCTGATGGTGAGCAGACACATTTTGCAGGGAAGTTGGTCACATGATGTTGGGTATAAAAATTGACACTGTAAAGTATCTTTTGTCCATGAATTATATCAGATATTTCAGATACAAAACAGACATACTTTTAAAAGATATTACACAGCTGCTAATTTATGTGTGTAAACATAATTATGACTATGACAAGCTATACTCACTGGATTAGGGATACTTAATGAGTACTCATGTACATTTTCATAATACCATAGGTTTGTAACAACATATTGCCATCAGACTTGAGTATCTTTTGTACTCAAGAACACTGTATTAAACAATTTACAAATAACATCAATGCTTAAAAAAAAAAAGCAAAAACTGCACCCAGAGGATACCAACTGGGACTCACACACACACCACAACCCAGCGTATGTGTTGAAGGCAACTGGTACATGCTACAAGTATCAGGCAGTGGTCCTGATGAACAATGAGAAATGGCACTGTAGAAATTTGTCTCAAAGACTGGTAGGAGAAAAAATGATCTGAATTATAACTTCATCAATTCCTTTTTACCAAACTGACTGATACCTCACATGAGTTAGGTTTTCTTTCACATCATTAGCTCAGAGGATTAGGTTAAAAATAATGATTACCAAAGATACGAATCAGGGCATCAGGGAATAGAATACAGGCATTTGCCTTGTACAGTCAATAACAGCCATTCTCCCCAGTCCAACTGCACAGCAGACAGGACTTCCTTTCGAAATGTTGTTATAGATAAATCACATCATGGAGTGATGCTTTCTGGAAACGTTGCTGTAATGTCATAAATTTGTAGAAAAGTTATGGTTCTGCTGATCAGAAGCAGTCAGAAATTCACAGCAGCACAGTTTACTTTTGGTATGTGTGGTAGAAAAATTAACACCAAATTAAATTCACTGCAATACAAATACAAAAACAGAATGGCAAGAAAACATAAAAATGATTTAAAGGATGATACTGGCTTCAATAAAAAGACTCATGCAACATTATATACATGATATAATATACAATGAAATTAAGATACAAGGAGGTATCTTTTCACAACATGAAAGACATACCATTCACAAATTGTGTGAAAAGCACCTAAACTTTGCCAAAAACACATGTTCACAAGCCTCTATAAATATAAATCTTAATACAAAATGTGGGAACAAATTCAGCAACATCATGTTTTATACCAAACATGGAGGATATGAACCAATTTTTTTTTTCTCTTTTTGACACAGGGTCTTACTATGGAGTTCAGGTTGGTCTTGAACTCACTTTGTAGCCCAGGCTGGTCTCAAACTTGCAATGTCTTGCCTCAGCCTCCCAAGTGCTGGTATTAGGTTTGTGTCACCACACCCAGCTTGAACCAAACATTTTAAAACAAACATAGTGGCCATATCCCAACAATTAACAGAAAACAATATAAAAATTAAGTATTTTTAGTGGGCTATACCTCTCCATCTCAAAGACATACATTAACTATGTAGACACTAACCATACCTGAAAGTAAAAAAAACACTTCATTTCACTATGTTTAATTAAAAGACACGATGGATTAAACAGATACTCAAAATTACAAAATTGTATCAACTTGGTATTTCTACATTAAACCCTCCAGATAACCTGAATATGTATAAAATGACTTACTAAAACCACACAATGTAGGTACTGTAAGACAGCTCCACCTGAGATTTGTATTTTCTGAAACATCAGTGAAGAAAAATTGACATCAAATTTTTTGTATTAATTTCTTCAGGTCTCCATTGCATGATAAATTTTCACAGGGTTTTCAAAATAGGCTTATATATATATATATAAGCTTTCTCCCCAGTGAGACTTTTCATGTATTTAACAAATGTGTGGACTGGCATTTCCCCCATATTGCTTATCTACATAGGATTTCTGTTCAACAAATTCTTTTGTACATGTGAAAATCATGTATGCTGAATGTAGTTACACATTGCCTCTGTATGTAGGATTAATCCACACTCAGAGCTTTGTGTATTTTACATGCACTGTACCTGATGAATGCTTTCCAGTGTTGCATACATAAGGTATCTACTCAATATAAATTATTTCATTAATTTAACAACACCTGCATGTGGTGAAAGCTTTCCGACACTGCTTACACACATACCTTGTATGAGTTCTCAAATATCTTACATTTACTGTGCCTTGTGAAAGTTTTTCCACATTTCCCACATACTTGGGCTTTTTCACCAGTGTGAAATCTTTCATTTATTGGACAAGATCTCCATGTGGGGACTGTTTTCCCACATTATTTACATACATAGATTTTCTAACAGTGTAAGTTCATTCATGTACGTTACATTCACTGTACCTGGGAAGGCTTTCCCACACTGCTTACACACACAGGATTAACACCAGTGTGAACCTCTTCATGTATGTTACATTGACTCTGACTACTGAAAGCTTTCCCACATTGCTTACATACACAGGGTTTCTTCCCAGTGTGAATTCTTTCATGTATTTGACAATTTCCCTGTGTGGCAAAAGCTTTCCCACATTGCTTACATACATAGGGTTTCTCCCCAGTGTGAATTCGTTCATGTATCTGACAATATCTCTGTGTGGAGAAAGCTTTCCCACATTGCTTACATACATAGGGTTTCTCCCCAGTGTGAATTCTTTCATGTATTTGACAATTTCCACGCGTGGCAAAAGCTTTTCCACATTGCTTACATACATAGGGTTTTTCCCCAGTGTGAATTCGTTCATGTGCTTGAGAAGAAGACTTTTTGATGAAAGCTTTCCCACATTGCTTACATACATAGGGTTTCTCCCATTTGTGTGTTCCTTCATGTGTTTTATAGTCACTGTAACTCATGAAAGCTTTCCCACATTTCTTACATATATATGATTTCTCCCCAGTGTGAATTTTTTCATGTCTTTGACAATGAGCATTTCTGCTGAAAGCTTTCCCACATTGCTTACACACATAGGGCTTCTCCCCTGTGTGAGTTCTTTCATGTATTTTACAGTCACCAAGCCTACTGCAAGCTTTCCCACATTGCGTACACATATAGGGTTTCTCCCCTGTGTGAAGTGTTTCATGTATTTGACAAGATCTCTGTCTACTGAAAGTTTTCCCACATAGCTTACATACATAGGGTTTCTCCCCTGTGTGAGTTCTTTCATGTGTTTGACAATGAGTGTTTCTGCTGAAAGCTTTCCCACAATGCTTACAGGTATAGGGTTTCTCCCCTGTGTGTGTTTTTTCATGTGTTTTATATTTACTATAACTTATGAAAGCTTCCCTACATTGCTTACAGTGGTAGTGTTTCTCCCTAGTGTGAATTGTTTCATGTATTTTACAGTATTCCTGTGTGGTAAAAGCTTTCCCACATTGTTTACATGCATAGGATTTCTCGCCAGTGTGAGTTTTTTCATGTCTTCGACAAGAAGTGTTTCTGCTGAAATCTTTCCCACAATACTTACAGATACAGCATTTCTCCCGTGTGAGTCCTTTCATGTATTTTACAGCTACTGCGCCTACTGAAAGCTTTCCCACATTGCGTACATATATGGCGTTTCTCCCCAGTGTGAAGTCTTTCATGTATCTGACAAGATCTGTGTGTAGTGAAAGCTTGTCCACACTGATTACATACATAGGGCTTCTCCCCCTGAATTCTTTCATGTCTTCGACAATAAGTGTTTCTGATGAAAGCTTTCCCACACTGCTTACATAGATATTTTTCCCCTGTGTGACTTCTTTCATGTGTTTTATATTCACTGAACCTGCTGAAAGCTTTTCGACACTGCTTGCATACACAGCATTTCTCTCCAGGGTGAGTCTTTTCACATCCTTCACAATTACTGTGCCACTTGAAAGCTATCCCACTTTGCTTACATACATAGGGTTTCCCTGCAGTGTGATTTCTTTCATGGATCTGAACATCATTGGATGTGTGTGTTTCTTTCACATTCACATTAGCATCTGGAGTACAAAGGAATACTTCTTCATACTGAGTACAAGCTTTATCTTGATAGCACCTCTTTACCTCTTCATTTCTGTAAAGAAAATCATGGTATTAAAACGGGTCTCCATATTACTGTTTTACCGGAATTAAGTTCTGTTTGGATGCCTACTAAGGAATTTTGACAACTGGAGCTGGGGATTTAGCTCAGCAGCATAAGCACCTGCCTGGCAAGCAGGCAGTCGTGAGTTCGATCCCTGTATCGATAAATAAAATAAATTAAAAAAAAAAAGAAATTCTGACAATGAATTAACTGAACACCTTGCAAGATACATTCAAAAACAGCAATTCCCAAAAGAGTGGTTTTCATTTGGCAATGTTAAAGTTGGTATATTTGAAATATAGTATGTTTTTGTTCATTGTCAGATAATGGATACATACGTGTATAACATATTGATCATTTTGATACCATTTCCACCATCACTCTCTCCCTTCTCTCTTTATCCTGGTTGTCTTTCCCACCCCCAAAAAGTCAATTTTTCCTTTTGCTATCAACTCTCCTTTATTTTAGTCTCTAATTTATAATTATTGCCTCCTCATATATAAGAAACTATGTGACATCTCACATCTTGCATCTGAGTTATTTCACTTAACATTATGGGAAGAAGACCCATCTATTTCTTTTGTCAATGGACATGATATTACCTATCTTTTTTAGCTGACTATATAGCATACTTCCTATTTCTATTCAGTGCTGGGAATGAAATACAGATCTTAGCACAAAATCTCTAGCTTTTTATTTCTCATTTTGAGATTTTCATGAATTATTAAGATGTTCAGACAGAGCTGCAACTTGCAATTCTGAAGATTCTGTTTCTCAGAGTGCTGCATTTACAGGAATGTATGAGTACAAGGAACCTCTCAACAATTTTCCTTATCCATGCATTCAGTGATAAACATCTAAGTTGACTGAAGGGCCAACTTGTTTTAAATTGGCCTGCACTGCATATGGGGTATAAATGCAAGTGTATTAAATGAGTATTCTGACTCTGTTGAGAATATACACAGGAGACATATATCTTGACCAACTTTTAGAGATATCTGCATACCAGTTATCATAGTGATTGTATGTGGCATTCCACCAGCAAAGTTGGAGGGCATCTTGCGATAATACTAACTCACAATGGACTCAATTTTCTGGACAATGACTTGAAAAACATACTGAAACATTAGAATTCATTTGTACTTTGAACTCTGCCAAAAGGTTAGCAATTTTCAGATACCAAATGTGTTATACTGACATGCATACATAGATATCCAACAGATGGGTTGCTGTCAAAACTCAGTTTATGCTTTTCATATACATCTATATGCAATACCTAAATGCAATTTCATACATTTTTTGAATGAATTCTCACTTTTTGTGTACTCAACCTGTATACTTCTTTGGAGAATATTTGTGACATTAAATTGAACTCTGTCTTATTTTCTTGCTGGTCATGTTTCTGCTCATTGACTCTTGAGACTGACTCCTGAGAAACATTTTTTCTCCTTCTGAGTGCAAATTACCTTAGGTATCTCCAGTAATTTTTGCATGCTTTTTCAACTTCCTGGTTGTCCCCAGCGCTTCCTGAATTGTAGACACAAATTTAAGAACTCATTATAATAATACATAAAAATTAATAGATCTCAATTAGATTCATAATATAATGGAACCAAGTCAGAGCTATTCTTCAAAATGTTTTCACATTCTTTTTAAGGAAATAGCACTGATGACAAACAATATTTTCTGAGAGTGTAAATGAGAAAGAGATGTCATCATTACCTATAGTCACCATGTTCTTAAAGGTTTCTCCCATCACATCTCTGTAGAGCTTCTTTTGGGATGGATTCAGCAAAGTCCACTCCTCATTGGTGAAGTTCACAGCCACATCCTCAAAAGTCACTGCCTGCTGTAGGATCAGACATATATTTCTCAAAGGAAGGTTTAGATTTACAATCTAAGATGTCTTAAGTCCTCACATAAAATGCTGAATTGAGAGACAAGCATGGTGGTGCATATCTGTAATCCTAGCACTTACGGGGAATGCATTTTATAATTACATTTCAATTTAGTCTTCATAAAAGTTAACATGTAGAAACAGGTCAAATCTGTACAAACTGAGAATCACCAAAGATCTAAGACTTCCATAATAATATACATTCATAAATGGAAAGAATTAATGTACAAATGCTACAGCATCTTGTAAATACCATGTTGAAAAGACAGATAGAGGCAATGTTGAATTAATCACATATACAAGATGGTCCGAACATGAAAATAGATAGTACACAGTAAATTAGCCATTCATATGGCTTGGGAAAAACAGAAGAAATAAGGGTTTGGGGTTCTTTAGGAGAAAATAAAAAATTCTAAATGGACTAGGCTATTGACTATGTATATTATCAAATTAAGAAATCAAACAGTAAACATATTTTAGTAAAGTTGGCTATCTCTGAAATGGTAAATAGACAAATTGGAGGACTATTTGCAGTGGAACTAATAATAATTAATGAAGGGAGAAATATAGTAAAGAGGGAGATTTATGCGACAGGTAAGTGAAAAAAAAAAGAAAGGGTATAAGAACATAAAATGGAAATAAGGAGGAATAGAAGTACAGAAAGGAAAATAACAAATAAAAGGCACAGAGGAGTCAGGTCCTGCCAAGGAGATCAGGAAAAGACTCTGCATGAAGTGGAATCATGTCTTTTGGTGAGCCAGGCTCTGCCATGGGGATCAGGAAGAGACTTAGCAAGAAGATGAACCACACTTTCTCATGAGCCAGGTTCCGCCATGGGGATCGGGAAGCAATTCAGCAAGAAGATAAACCATGCCTTCCCATGAGCCAGGATCCACCATGGGGATCAGGAAGAGACTCAGCCAGAAGCAGAACCACACCTTCCTGTGAGCCAGGCACTGACATGGGGATCGGGAAGAGACTCAGTAAGAAGATTAACCATGCCTTTCCATGAGCCATGTGGTGTGCAGGCTGGGAACCCAGAAGAGCATCCCTCTCCCACGCTGGTAAGCAACTGGCTGACTCAGAGGACTCAGAGATGACAGCAACTGAGATAAAAGGAATAGCTTGATGCTTGCATTGTTTGATTGACTTTGCAGGTCTAGGGTAGGTAGCCTGCATTGTGGCAACTGACGGGAATTTCCTCCTGTCTTATTCTTGAAATCTAATGCTTTGTTCCATTTTGCTGTTTTGTTTTATTTATGTGTCTGGTAACCTGAGCAACTATACTGAAGATAACAGTATGCAGTATAGCAACCATTGTTATATCCCTATCACCTTGTTTTGAAAACCTATTACTATTGTTGATGTGTGTGCTGTTGTTCTCCATTTGTTTTTCTTGTTTTTTAAGTTTTCTTTGCTACCTGATTTTTCTGCTTTTTCCTTTTTCTCCTTAAAATTAAAAAAAAATTTTTTAAGCAGAGAGATGAAGCAAAGAAAGAATGAGAAAAAGAAACAAAAAGGAAACCAGAATATATTAGGGAGGCGAATGGTAAAGGAAGAGAATTGGTCAATGGAAGAAAATGAAGAAACACTGAATCCAGTGTGTTCCTACTTACTAGATCCCTAGCCTCAAAACTTGTAGTGGAGAATTTGGTGGGAAAGGCTTTTTTTCCTGTTGATCTATTGATTATTTCTCCTTATGTTAAAAGTGACAGGATTATTGACATTCTATAACTGATTCTGCAAAGTCTCTTTTGAGATATTTTAGAATTTGGGTTGGAAAAAAACAACAAAGAAAGGGCAGAGCAATTGCCAAACACAGTGAGGTAAATTATATCCTTCTAAAAGGCAATCTACCACTCCTCAGCAGAAGAAGAGACATAGAAGATGATAGACAAAATGAAGACATAAGTGAAGACAATTCAGACTAAGCAACTGAGGACATCACAAACATGATGAGTAGGATTTCTCCTCTGTACAAGTCCCACTGCTGATGGAAACTGTGGCAGGGAAAATCTTGGATAACATTAGTCTCACACAAGTCAACATAGAAACATACTCTTGTCAACCTAATTCCTCTCAGTGAACACACCCCAGGATGAAGACACAAGGTACAAACTATCACAGAGGGCAAAATGCATACTGTAACATGGACAGAGAAATGGACAAATACAGGGCATAGCCCATAATACTGAGCAAAAATTGATAGTAGCATAGGGGAAAGAACAAGAACATTGAGAGCCCAGGACACATGTGATACAGAAGTGGAGGCACAACACGCTGACCACCATTGATGATGACACTGAACATAATTTTAGAGATGGGAAAAGCAGACAACAAGTACATGGTTGTGTGCAGTGTGGACTCACTCCACACAGTATGCTGGTGAGCCAGTTCCTCTGCACTGTGAACAGGTTCATCGGCAAGCACAGCAAGAGGGAGCTCGCTGGAGAAGCCATGGGAAAGCCAAGAAGCCAAAAAGAATAACCTGAAACAAGGTCCAATATTTCTCAACAAGCATGACTGTTGTATCTGCTGAAATCCAAACCAGAATAAAGACACAATGGTGGAATTTAAATTGTGACACAGAGCAAATAGCAATATAATTTAATTTATATTAATTAATTAAATATATTAATTTAATATATTAAATATATTTATACTACTGAACAACCTGCTAAGCATTATGCTGTGATTTTACCTATCTATTGAATTATAATTCTTGAAGTTCACTGTAGTGTAATCTAAAAGTGAGACTAATATATTAAGTTCTTAAATCAGAGTTGAACAATTAGTTCAGTTTTGGTAACTCTGACCGCAGGAAAAGTCACGCATTTGGAACACTGCAAACAGGCATGAGATGGCCAGAGTATAAGACTTTTCACACTGAGCATAGTCTAGGAAAAGCAAATTTGATTTTGATATTTTATAAAACGTACTCTCAGAGAGTATTCATCTTTTCATTGATTACTTCAATCATTTGATTTACTTTTAATCTGTATGTCAGCATTCAATCCTCTTGAGTAAAAAAATGAAAGGAAAAGGAATAATGCTACACACTTGTTAACTAACTATCTTGGTGCATTAAGAAAAGGGATCATATTTTAAAGATTAGAATGGAAATTTAGCAAGAAACTTTACTGATATGAAACTAGCATCAAGCTGCAAATATCTTATAAAATTTCCTTGCAATTGAATCATAAGCAGCACATTTTCAGTCAGAGACACATAAGCTACCTCAATCAATATACATACGTAGATGGTTTTAGTGAGAAATTTACTGTCCATCCAAAATACCATTAGAAATCGCTAATTATAAAGGACTTAAAAATACTCATGTAACAGGTATTCCATACACTTTTGCTGTGTATAATACAAGAAAGAAAATATTTTTCCAAACTGTAGGTATTTACAAAAAATTCCATCAGGATATATGACATTTTCCTTCATTTATAAAGAATAAATTTGATATAGATTCTAACTTAAAAGTACTATAAATGGTAGGGAAAGGTTAGCTTTGCAGTTCCAATTTGTCCCTGCCCCCCACAAAAGATATAATACTGAACCACAGGCACACTGAGCATGCAGTTTAATGCTGACCTACAATATTCACTCATGTGTTTTTGACATAGTTCAGGCTGGCCTTGAACATACAAGGTAACCCAGGCTGGCTTTAAACTACTTATCCTCCTACAGCTGAAAGTCCTAGAATTTCACGTATGAAACACCAAGCCTAACCCTAACCAAAACCCAAATGTTTCACCTGATTATCAATGCAAACATAAAAAATTTTACATGTGAAGGGAGATAACATGGCTGAATAGAGGAGACTCATTCAGAGCTACTCAGAGGAATTCAACTAAAATATAGGTAACTGGCACAGAGGAGGGACATACATCTGGAAAATAAAATCAGTGTGACACAAGATTCCCTGATGATTGGCCAGTTTTCCTTCCCTTTCCCTTTCCTTTTTCTTTTTTCTTTCCTTTCTTTTTTCCCCTTTCCTTTTGTGCACCAGAGCACTCTGGAACCTCTCGGAACAAGATTAAAGACTACAGATTTGTGGAGGAAATGTAATAGCTAACCCTTCTAACCCAGTCAGAGAAGCACAGGAATAAACAGCCTTATACCTCAGACCATGCAGCCCAGGGCTATCACCACCTTCTGTGACAATACTGGGAAAGCTCTGGGTGATGACCTCACTGCACTGCAGCACCAAATGTCTGGGGGCAGAACCAAACAAATACCAACATCTCATACTTCATTAATTGAGAAGGTAGAATCTCGGTACAGAAACATATCTGGAATCTCCTATGCACAGAAGACATCCTTGAAGTACACATTCTTCCTAGAGAGGTTTTGATACTAGTGACATAGCTACCTACTACAAAAGCTTACATGTATCAACACAGAAAATAAAATAAAAATTTTTCAAATAGAAAATGACAAGACACAGAAGCAAGATGCAACCTCAGACCTCCCGCTCACACAGAACAAGCCCAGAAGACAATACAATGAAGACATACACATGCAATTTATGAAATGTTAGCAATCAAAATAAACAAACTAATCCATGAGGCTATAGAGGAAACCAGATAAGAAATAGTCCCTCAGGTTAAAAAAAAAAAAGCAATAATAATGAGGGAATTGCACAGGAATTCTAAGAGTAGAAATACATAAAAACACAGAGTAGAATAGAAAAGTGATAGAAACCTTGAATGATTCAGTATAGGAAAGAAATAGAATGCATGAAATGGATCCAAACAAATCAGGAAATTAAAAATTCCATTAAAATCTGACAAAACCACTGGAAAGAAACTGAAGACACACTTTCAGGCCTTGAAGACAGGATAAGGGCTAGAAACTGAAAGATCTTTTAAAAATAACAAGTGATCAGGTCTGGGGATATAGCTCAGTGGCATAAGCACCTGCCTGGCAAGTGCAAAGTCCTGAGTTCAATTCCCGGTACAAAAAAAAGTGATCTAAAAATAAAAGTTCAATAGCTGCAAGACAATGCAAAAAATGCAATATCTACATATCTACACACACACACACACACACACACACACACACACACACACACCCTGATAATTGTCCATGAAAAAGCAGGAATAAACACAAATGACATAAAATGGCTATTTGCAGAAAAAAAAACCAGAAAGTTTGTCATGCATAGGAAAAGAGCCTGACATACAGATAAATGAGGCACATACCATTCCAATTAACCATGACCAAAATAAATCTACAGCCAGATATGCAATAATCAAAATCCTAGAAATTCAGCACAAGAACAGAATATTAAAAGCTGTTAGAGATAAGAACAGATCATCTACAAAGGAAAACACATTAGAATCAAGGCAGAATTCTCAACACAAACCCTTACTACATCAGGAAGAGTTTGAAGTGAAATATTTCAAGTCCTCAAGGTAAACAACTTCCACCCAAGACAGATGTACCCTGCAAAACTATGTTTCAAAATTAATTGAGAAATAAGATACTTTCATGTAAAGAACAACTGAAGATACTGAAGACCACCAAACCTTCCCTGCAAAGAGTAATGAAAGGTAACTAGATAGGGATAAAAATGACTACAATTCCAAGAGCAATAACAAAAAGAAACTGCAGACAAGGTAAGCAGTTAAACAGAGGGGAAAATCAGGAAACTAACAGTAGTAAAATAACATGAAAAAGATAAACCACTACAAGTAAGTTATAACCAGCAATGTAAAGGGACTCAATTCACCAAAAGAAACAGACTGGCAAAAGGCATCAAGACCCAACAATATGCTGTATACAAGAAACACATTTAACTTAAGAAAGTCATAGACTGAAAGTAAAGGTTGGAAAACAATACTCTATGCAACAAGAACCCTCCCCCCATAAGTAGGGTAGCTATTCTGTTACAGACAATGTGAACTTTAAACTAAGAATGATCAAAAGAGATGAAGCTCACTACAAATTTGTTAGGGGAAAACTTCAAGACAGAGGGATAACAATCATAAGTATATATGCACCAAATACAGGGACACCCACCTATATATAGCGCCAGCCATTCCTTCAGCTCTTTAATGTCATGGAAATGGAACTGGGATTACATGAGTGGGCAAACTGGGATGGAGGCTAATGTTTACTCATGGTTAAAATGATTAGAAGAGTTCCCAAATCAGCATAATTAGAACTAGGAATGGAAGCGTCTTCTCTTCAGTCTTGCACATTCTTTAGGGCTTGTGTGTTTCTACTGCTCAGGTGTGTCTCTGATCAACTAAAATTTCTACCTTCTCCCCTTGTTATAATGATGCAAGCCAAACAGTATAATCAGATTGGGACACCGCTCAAGAATAACAATAATAATAACAACAACAATGAAACCATATCAAAGCGAACAAACAAAAATAAGAATCTAGAGTAACATTCCCTTTGTCAAATACTATTCAGATTGTTCTCTTGATTCAGTTGCTCTGGGGAACCTGGTTAACATAGCTCTCAAAAAAGGAAACAATCTGATGATTATTATGTTTTATGGAAGATTTTAGAAGAGTTAAAGTAAATACTTGAGTCAAAACTATCATGGTCACCCCAAAGGAAGTTCTATTTAAAAATGTGTTGAAAATGCACGGAATATGCCTGAACAAGTAACATTACTGCTAAACTCTGCATCCTTTAAACCTGCTCAACACACTTGCTTGATCTGGGTTTAGCAACACATATGCAACACAAAATCATAATAAAAAACCCTAAATATCTCATTCACTTTATGGAATACAGTGCACTGCAAATTACTGCTTCTTCACTATTAATGCCTGCTGCTGACAGAGTAGTGCTTCATTACTGTGGTCCACCATCACGAGCAAGTATTGTAACTTATTTCCCTAGTGTGCAAAAAGAATAAAATAAAAAGCTCAAAATAAGGTTTCCACTGAATAATTTTGCTTGTATCCTTCATTACTGGAGACTTATTAAGGGCTTAGGGCATGTTAAATGGATTACTGTTCAGTGGAGATAAATCACAGAATGTGTATTTCATATTGAAACAGGATCTTGCTCAGTTGTCCAGTCTGGGAGCTGAAACACTTCCTGTCTCAGTCTCCCCAGTGCTTGAGAGAAAAGGGATGAACAACCATGCTTCACTGATTTTTACTTTACCCAAGCACTGAAATATTGGCAAATCATAAGCAATAAAAAACCCCAAGCTTAGAATGGCATAACGGCACATACATGTAATCCCAATGCTCAATGAGGTTCAAAAACTATCAAAATATCACATCACTCTGCATAACTTACTAAGATATGATCTGAAAATGTAAAAACAAAAGTTACAAATTGAAATTTTGGAGAGCATAGCTCAGAGTAAATTTCCAGAATTCAGTTTCTCTACAAATACAAGCACTCATGAAAATCCATTTCCTGGGGGGAACCCTTTTCCTATCATCTACTTCAATGATAGTATCCACAAAATTTTTATCTACACCAAAGCCAGTTTGCTAATTTCTGGTTTTGAATGAAAAATGATTATATGGCTAGGTGTAGTGGCACATGCCTGTAATCCCAGCACTAGGGAGGCTCAGGCAGGAGGATTGCTGTGAGTTCAAGTTCAGCCTGAGTTATATAACTCAGTTCAAGGCAAGCCTGTACTACACAGTCAGATCCTGTCTCAAAAAAAAAAAAAAAAGATTACATCAATTGATCAGTACAAAAGACACTTATCTATTATTAAGTTCCATTCCTTTCTTCAGGTCTGTGACTTTTGGCTAACTCACACATGAAGCAAGCACACAATTATTCCTCCATCCTTACACTAAATATAATCAGACTTTCAGAGGAGATCTTCTATGTTTTAAGTCCTACTATTGGCTCCTTTCATCATGCCACTCTATTCCACATCCTTCCCGTTCTGCTTTGATCCACCCTCAGCAGAAAACTCTTCATGGCTAACCATTATATCCTGTGCAACTTCTATTTGGGGCTTCTTTCTGCTAACGCTCCTTCTGAAGTCTATGTTAGAGAGCAGTTTACTATTTAGACAATGTCTATGATCAGGCCAAACTCTATAGCCACTAATTCAGAATGACCCCCTATCCCTTTCACTCCTACCCATATCACATGTATATGTCGATGCAAATGCCCCAATTCAGGGATTTCTCAGCAACTTAGGCATCTACTTTGCAGGTGCACTTTCCCCTGCCCTTGCTATTAGATACTTTAACATCTGCTCCATTTTTCCAGAATGCTAAACTCTATGGCAGTTCTCACATAAATAATCTTAACTTCCAGAAGGGGAGTCACCTAAATAATTAAGAAAGAGTAACAATTTCCTTTGCATTGCTCTGTATGGAACACAGGAGGAGTTCACTGGGTGTTTGGTAAGTGCTCCACCACGGAGGCACATCCCCACACTATTTTCAGTTTTCAGGACCTTTGTCAACACCTATCATGAGTGTGGAAATGAGGACATACTGGATACTCGGGAGGTCACTATAAATATAAAAAAGCTGAAGTATCAGGAGTTGTGGCTATAAGGTCCTGCATCACAGATGCTTACAAATTTCAGGTCCTCCAGATCTGCTGCTGGCAGAAATGAGACTAGGCACCTAACTCACCACAGTTGCACCCAGCTCAAAAATCACATCTCAGACTCTGTCTCTCCCCCTATACCTTTCCTCTGCCCGGACTGGTAGAGGTGCTAAGGCAGCAGTAAGTATCCTGGACGACACTGTAACCTGGGGGTGTCACGGCGGGAACAGGGTTCACGGGACGGGGAACTAGCTTTGCCCTAGCAAGGAGCAAAAGGGATAGAGATGACTCATTGTCAGCCCAGGAGGGTCACAGGTTCTGAAGCTAAGCACAGAGGCTCCCAGCTACTCTAGGTGCTTCCTGTCACTAACTGGTTCCCCCCATTTCCACCCCATCTCAGGCCTCCCATCCCACAACTTCACCATTGCGTGGCTTGAGAGTCTCCCAGGTTCTTTCCTAAGCAGGCCACAGTGAAGTGAAGTCACAAAACGCAAGCTAGAAAGCAATCGCCTCTCAGTACAGTATTCAGGACACACAACAGACGCCATGACACTAGAAGAGACATCCTACCTTGGCGCACCTGATTGGACAATTCATATCGCCCGCCCCTTCATCACTGATTGGCTCCTGCTCTATAGCCTTCGCTCCGTGCCAAGTATAAAAATAGAAGCAAACCTCTACCTGCAAGAGTGAACGTCAAAGGAAAGATTGTAGCGTAAAAATTTAACTAGGCTGAGCCTTCGGTGTGCGGAGGAGGAGCTGCGCGGATCCGGAGAGCCTGCAGAGGCCCCTTCCTTTGTCTGGAGGAGGAGGGGTCCCGGGTTCCTGAGGCACCTCGGCCTGAGCCCAGCCGCGCCTTGCCGTCGGTGTGCGGAGGAGGAGCTGCGCGGATCCGGAGCCGCCTGCAGAGGTCCCTTCCTTTGTCTGGAGGAGGAGGGGTCCCGGGTTCCTGAGGCACCTCGGCCTGAGCCCAGCCGCGCATAGCCATCTGCGTGCAGAGGAGGAGCGGGGTAGATCCGGAGTGCCCGCAGGAGGCCCTTCCTTTGTCTGGAGGTTTGTGGATATCTCTGCAAGCAGGGAGGGATCACAGACTCCTGAGGCACTGCGGTCTGTGGTGAGTACCCTAACCCGGCTGCGATCCAAGAGCTGTGGATCTACCAAGGGGCAGGTGGGCGCACAGTGTCCCTGAGGCCCAGCTTGTCTGGAACCGCGGAGTTCTGAACAAGCAGAGAAGGGCCATTGGTTCTACAGGCCCAATGGCCTGGGGTAGAGTGGTGCCAGAGTCTCAGTAGCTGCAAACATAGAAGGGGATTTTCAACAGATCCTGAGGAGGCTTTCAAATAACACTTGAAACACAGAAATATAGGAAAATGACAAAACGAAAGACCAAATTACAACCTCAAACCTCCAGCCCATCTCAGGAAACCCTAGGAGAAGAGTATTTAGAAGAAAATATATCCCATCCTCCTCATATATTAGACACAATAGCTACTGAAGTTGACAAGCAACTCCAGGAAGCTTTAAAGAAATTCAAACTCGAAATAATTTCCCAGATAAAAGAAGAAATGATAAAAGAAATGAAAGAGATTCTAAATATATCTAAAGAAAACACAGATAAAAAATTGGAGGAATTAAACAAAAAGATAGAATCCCTAGACCAGCAATATAAGAAACAAACAGAATACATAATACAGATGCACAGAGATATACAGGAAATAAAAAACTCCACTGAAAGTTGTAAAAACCGCCTTAATGAAAGTGAAGATAGAATTTCAGACCTTGAAGACAGGATTGCAGCAAGTGAACAGGAAAGGAAGGATCTTTTAAAAATAACAAGGAATCAGGAAACAACAATTCAACAACTGCAAGATGATGCAAAGAAGAATAACATAAGAATGATAGGGATTAATGAAAAAGAAGGAGACAACATAAAGGATATCAAGAGGATATTTAGAGAAGCAATAGCTGAAAACTTCCCAAGCATGAGATCAGAAACTGACATCAGGATCAGTGAAGCATATAGAACTCCAAATAGTCATAACCAAAATAAAACTACACCCAGACATATAATAATCACCATCCCAGAAATCCAACACAAGAATAGATTATTAAAAGCTGTCAGAGAGAAAAGACAGATTACTTATAAAGGAAAACCTATCAGAATCACAGCAGACTTCTCATCACAAACAATAAAGTCAAGAAGAGCATGGAGTGAAGTATTCCAGATCCTAAAGCAAAATGATTTCCAACCTAGACTGATATATCCTGCAAAACTATCATTTAAAATAGATGGTGAAATACGATACTTCCATGACAAAGAACAGCTGAAGAACTTCATGAACACCAAACCAACCCTGCAAAAAATATTGAAAGACAGTTTAGATACACAAAGGAAAAAACCACTAAGCAAAGCAAATAATTAAACAGAACAGAAAGATAAAGATGCAACAGCAGAGAGATAAGAATCCTACAATTAAACAACATTTAACAGTAATAACCATTAATGTAAATGGTCTCAATGCACCAATCAAAAGAAACAGACTAGCAGAATGGATCAAGAAACAAAATCCAACCATATGCTGTTTACAGGAAACCCATCTAACCCAGAAGGATACTCACAGACTGAAAGTCAAAGGATGGAAAACAATTCTTCATGCAGCAGGAATCCAAAAAAAGGCAGGAGTAGCCATTCTGTTTGCAGACAACGTGAACTTTAAACCAACAATGACCATAAAGGACAAAGAAGGTCACTACATACTCGTAAGGGGAAAACTCCAAGAGGAAGAGATAACTATCTTAAATATATACGCACCAAACTCCAGAGCGCCCAGTTATATAAAACAATTATTAACAGAAATGAAAACTCAAATTATCAGTAACACAATTGTAACGGGAGACCTTAATACGCCATTGACACCAAGGGACAGATCGACCAGACAGAAAATGAGTAAAGAAATAACAGAACTGAATCATACCTGTGAACAAATGGGTTTGATAGACATATACAGAATGTTCCACCCAACAACATCAGAATACACATTCTTCTCAGCAGTACATGGATCATTTTCTAAAATAGACCATATATTAGCTCATAGAACATATTTAAACAAGTGCAAAAGAGCTGAAATCATCCCTTGCATGTTATCGGATCACAGCGCTCTGAAATTAGAAATTAATGATAAAAGATACCGCAAAAATCCCACAAACACATGGAAACTGAATAACACACTCTTGAGTAATCAGTGGGTCACAGAAGAAATTAAAGAAGAAATCAAACAATACCTAAAAGAAAATGAAAATGCAGATACAACTTACCGGAATCTGTGGGATACAATGAAAGCCGTTCTGAGAGGAAAATTTATTGCACTGAGTTCCCACATCAGGAAAACAGAACGAATACAAATAAATAACTTGATGCTACACCTCAAACAGCTAGAAAAGGAAGAGCAAGTCAAGCCCAAAGCCAAAAGAAGAGAGGAAATTATAAAAATCAGAGCAGAAATCAATGCAATAGAGACTAAGAAAACAATCCAAAGGATCAACAAATCAAAGAGTTGGTTCTTTGAAAGAATAAATAAAATCGATAAGCCCCTAGCCAACCTTATTAAAAAAAGGGAAGAAAAAGCTCAAATTCATGCAATAAGAAATGAAAAAGGAGAAGTCACTACAGACCCAATAGAAATACAGAAGATCATCAACACCTATTTTGAAAACCTCTACTCTCAAAAGTTTGATAACACAGAAGAAATAGACAGTTTCTTAGAAGCATATGAAGTGCCAAAGCTAGATCAAGAGGATGTAAAACTGTTGAATAACCCAATCTCGGTTACTGAAATTGAAAATGTAATTAAGTCCTTACCCACCAAGAAGAGCCCAGGCCCAGATGGATTCACTGCAGAATTCTACAAGAAATACAAAGAAGACCTAATGCCGACACTCCTCAAACTATTCAATGAAATTGAAAGGAAAGCAATCCTGCCTAAGTCATTCCTGGAAGCAAATATCACTCTAGTACCAAAACCTGAGAAAGACCCAACTAAAAAAGAGAACTATAGACCGATCTCCCTAATGAACACAGATGCAAAAATCCTCAATAAAATATTGGCAAATAGGATCCAGCAAATCATCAAGAAGATTATACACCATGACCAAGTGGGATTCATCCCAGGAATGCAAGGATGGTTCAACATACGCAAATCAATAAATGTAATTCACCATATCAATAAAGCCAAAAATAAGAATCACATGATCATTTCTATAGATGCAGAAAAAGCCTTCGATAAGGTCCAACATTTATTCATGATAAAAACTCTACAGAAAATTGGAATAGATGGTCTTTACCTCAATATAATAAAGGCCATTTATGACAAACCAACAGCCAGCATCATACTAAATGGCCAAAAATTGAAAGCCTTTACTTTAAAATCAGGCACAAGACAAGGATGTCCTTTATCACCACTCCTATTTAATATAGTACTGGAAGTACTAGCCAGAGCAATTAGGCAAGAAAGAGAAATAAAAGGGGTAAAGATAGGAAAAGAAGAAGTTAAGTTGTCATTGTTTGAAGATGACATGATACTCTACATAGAAGACCCCCTAAGCTCCATTGAAAGACTCTTAGATACAATAAATAAATTCAGTAATGTGGCTGGATACAAAATCAATACTCAGAAATCAATAGCATTCCTATACACAAACAACAAAACCACAGAGAGGGAAATAAGGGAAACTGGACTATTCACATTAGCAAGCAAAAAAATGAAATATTTAGGAATTACTCTTACGAAAGAAGTGAAAGACTTATACAGTGAAAACTATATTACACTGTAAAAGGAAATTGAAGATGATCTCAGAAAATGGAAAGACATCCCTTGCTCATGGATAGGAAGAACAAACATTGTGAAGATGGCCATTCTCCCAAAACTCTTATACAGATTCAATGCAATCCCAATAGAAATACCATCAACATACCTTATAGATCTAGAGAAATCACTCCTAAATTTCATCTGGAACCAGAAGAGACCTAGAATCGCAAAAGCAATTCTAAGCAGCAAAGACAAAGCAGGAGGCATCACAATCCCTGACTTGAAATTATACTACAAAGCAACAGTAGTAAAATCAACATGGTATTGGAATCAAAACAGAGCTGAAGATCAATGGAATAGATTAGAAGATACAACCACAACTACAAACACACTCAACCACCTTATCTTCGATAAAGGAGCCAAGCAGGTTCACTGGAAGAACGACAGTCTCTTTAATAAATGGTGCTGGAAAAACTGGCTCTCCATTTGCCGAAAACTAAAGCTAGACCCATGTCTATCACCATGTACTAAATTAAAATCTAAATGGGTCAAAGATCTGAATATTAAAACAGAAATGCTAAATCTATTGGAAGACAAATTGGGTAGAAACCTTGGAGACATAGGAGTAGGTAGAGAATTCATGAATAGGACTCAAACTGCACGGGAAATACTTCCCAGAATCAATAACTGGGACCACTTCTTATTAAAAAGTTTTTGCATGTCAAAAGAAATCTCCAGCATAGTGAAAAGAAAACC